TGTGTGTGTGTGTAAGGTGTGGACTGATGGGGGGAGAGGGGGCGTGAAGGGATTTTTTTTTTACATGAAGGATTTTAGTTTTTGCTGGGTGACTAAATGCTAAATAGGTCGAGCAGTCTTATTTTCTCGCAGTACCTTTTGGAGGTATTTTCAATTGAAGTATGTCCGGGAATGTTGCCCCAACCACGACTGGAGTATCTGAATATTCGGACATTTAAAAATCTCTAGCTCTAGAAATCGAATTTGATGCAAAAAATGCTTCTTCCCAGTCCTCACAGAATGGCAGGATGAAAGGATGACGCCTAAATCTCGCAAATAACCCAAAACATCTCGAGATCGGAAACCGTTTGGAGAAATAGTGTTCAGCTTTATTTTCCCGAACGTTCGGAGAAATAGTCACTTCGCATTTAAAATCAAGGGCAGGCAACCTCTTGAACATCTTCTGAGTGTTCTCCTTTCAACTGTACCTGTCGCCCTGACCTACTGTTCATTCTCAGGTGTTCAGGTTTCTCGGACCACAAGACCGACATTTTTGGACTGTTCGTATCACCTCAGAACTATGAAACAAAAATTCAATGCCATTCGCAAAATCATGATCCTTCAGGGATTTGCTGAAGGTCGGGCACTGGGCTCTTTCTCTGCCATGTTTACTAAATTAAACATGACCCACCGCTTTTTCGCAGAAGGAGTAAGACAAACGAAAGCATGCTTCGTTGCCTTACTCCAGAATTCACATAAAAGACGTCAGCCAGCTCCCCCTCATAAATGTTTATGATTCCGACAGAAAATCTCTGTCCACCATCTTTATGATGTTCTATATCTCTCCGTGAACTCTATGGTGCAGCGAGATTGTCCTGAGTCAATCGAGATGGATACGTTGCAAATGCAAAGGTCTTTTTCTTGCATTGTACCTAAACTCCCAAGCCAAATGCGGGTGTTCGTGCCATATTGGATAGGGGTGCTTGTAGCACACAACGGATCCGTGCAAGGTGAAATGTAGATCTATGCATGCTTTTGTGATAAGAAAATGTGTGTGTGTGTGTTTGTGTGTGTGTGTGTGTGTGTGTGTGTGTGTGTGTGTGTGTGTGTGTGTGTGTGTGTGTGTGTGTGTATTTTCCTCTGGCAATGTATATTATATGACCAAAGATTAATTGTTCACCTAATGTAGGATATTGGTAATTTATGAATTTGTACATTGATTTGTGAAAATCCCCTAGAGTTGTGTGCACACGGTAGAAGACGCTATAAAATAGATGATCTACATGATTATCCTGGTAGTATCATCCAAACAAACTGAAAACATGTGTCGCTTGCAACCTTAACATCAATAAGGGGATAGAGACCCCCCCCCCTCCCCTCCCCAATCCGAGTTACAGCTTCATTCTATTTCCCTGACAAAGCTAATATTATACTAATTTTGTTTTGCGTTCCATTCAATCCAATGAAGACTATTGTAAAGGGGAATACGCACCTTTGGGTGACAAGACGTTGTCGACTACATTTCACCTCCCCCACCCCCTCCCCTCTCCTACAAAGCACATGATTTTGGAAACAAATTCGTTTGAACCAGGGGCTATACAGACCACACTCAAGTTTGCAGGAGAACATGGAACTGGTTAAAAACAAGTAAAAGAGGTGTGGTGAATACAATGTAAAAGGATTTTACTACTTTCCAGAATCAAATCTGCTGGTTAATTAGCTAGACTCCTTGTATTATGAAACTCTTTCAAAGTGGTTCATATGAAAGAGAGAGAGAGAGAGAGAG